TTTGCACATCTAAGAATGGCACCTAAGCACAATTTTAGATTGCTGGCATGGACAAATAAACCGTACACAGGAAATGAAGTGATAAATACAACAGATCTACCAAGAAAAGTATTCCTTCAGATGATGAAATATCACACATTTAAAAATCAAAAACTTATTAATGTAGCATGAAAATGAAACTTGTTATATATTTTAACATAAAGCAACTTGAAAAAAATCTGAATTTGTTGGTAAAATGTAACATAAGGCCAAAAGGCTTCTAAGCAGACTAGTAAAATAAAAATAAATTACAGTCATATCTAATATTAAGATAAAAGAGGCAGGGCACAGTGCTCATCCCTATAATCCCAGCACTTTGGGAGGCCGAAACAGGAAGATCTCTTGAGTCCAGGAGTTCAAGACCAGCCTGGGTAACATAATGAGACCTTGTCTCTACAAAAAAATTAGCCAGCCATGGTGGCATGTGCCTGCAGTCCTAGATACTCAGTAGAATTTTTGTTTGAGCCCAGGAGATCAAGGCTGCAGTGACGGTGCCATTGCACTCCAGCCTCGGTGACAGAGTAAGACTCTGACTCTCTGACCAAAAAAAATAAAAAATAAAAATAAAAGAGACAACAGGCTGCCAAAAATAAGACGGATGAAGCTCTGGAAAACATTTGGTGATAAGTTATTATCTAGCAAGTTGTTATGGCAAAAACGAATTAATGTGAAATTTCAAAAGATGAAGATAAGCTCTCTTGAAAATTTCCAATTCTCTTCTAGGATTTCTCCATATGTCATAAGAAAAGCATAGCTTTGTTTTTTCTTTTCCCCAAGACTAGACTGAAAGCAACATTCTGAGTGAGTGATCTTTAAGAAAAGTGTGTGCTCCTGGAAAGTCACAAAACAATCTACTGGGGTGTAGGAAGAAAATCTTAGAACTGTTACTCAATATTTTTTATGCCATCCTTAATTTCCATTTTTGTACATGTTTTATAATGAACATATTACTTTAGTATAATGATATGTAATTTAACACATATACACGCACATTTTAAATATGGGAAGTTTCTGTGTTCAATAACTTTTATTGATCAAAGTGCATGTTCAAAAAGGCTGGGCACGGCTTTTCTGAAATACTGCTTAGTGCCTCTAAATGTGTTTAAATTCAGCCGGGCTCGGTGGCTCAGCCTGTAATCCCACGCTTTGGGAGGCTGAGGTGAGTGAATTGCCTGAACCCGCGGGTTCGAGACCCACCTGAGCAACTTGGTGAGACCTCATCTCCACAATAAATCAAAAATTAGCTGGACGTGATAGTGTGCACCTGTAGTTCCAGCTACTTGGAAGGCTGAGGCAGAAGGATCGCCGGAGCCCAGCAGGTGGAGGCTGCGGTGGCCGGGAGTGTGCCACTGCAGAGTCAGACTCCAACTCAAAAATAAAAATAAAAATAAATATGCTTAAATTCACTAGAAACATAAAGCTACCTTTCAGAACTTTAGAATCTTAGTACAAATTCTGAAATCAAGATGAAACAATGTTGTTAGACTGGACATTCTACAATGCCAGGATGAATGCAACTGAAGTGATGCTATTGAATAGCCTGGACATACAGTTCCAGAATTCCAAGCCTCTGATTTATTTAAGTCAGTCCTGCTTTTTCTGATCTCTAATATAGTATGCAAATCTTCAAGGAAAATTCCAGTTAAAAAAAAAAGTCTACCTATATTGGCTCATGGGCTTTCTTTCCCCATTAAAATTTAAAGAAAAAAATTATACCTATATTTCAACTGTCAAAATGTGAGAAAAATTAAACTTACATTTTAACTCTAAGAAGCTTAAGGTTGGCCAGGTGCAGTGGCTCATGCCTGTAATCTCAGCACTTTGGGAAGCTTAGGTGGGAGAACTGCTTGAGCCCAGGAGTTCGAGACCACCCTGAGCAACATACATAACTAGATCTTGTCTCAATTATAATTAAAGAAACTTTATTTTAAAAAATTTTTTAAATAAAAAAGAAGAAGCTAAGGCTGGCCTCTGGATTCTCTTTTTCCCCCTACTGGCATATATTCAGAATATAGATTCTTTAATTGTATATTAATTAAAACAACAACACAGAAATGTCCATCCTGTTCAAACACACAAAATATGCCATGAGAAATATAACATTACAAAAGCACTGTAACAAACCACTAAAAAAAGAAGAGTACTAAACTGGGAATGGTGGTGCATATCTGTAGTCTCAGCTACTTGGGAGGTTCAGACAGAAGGATCATTTGAGCCCAGGAGTTTTAAGTCTAGCCTGTGCAACATAGTGAGTCCCCATATCTAAGTAATAAAAACAAAATAAGAAATAAAAGGATTACTGAAAAAAGAAACAAAAAATAAAAGTTAAAAAGGACAAAAAAAGGATTACTGAAGGACCCTGTTCTAAAAAACAGAATAGAAAATATAGGATTAGTGAAGTCAGACATAATATTTTAATTTTGCACTTTTAAAAAGTCAGCACATGAACAAAAAAATTTCTTTAGAAATTATGTGACAATCCATTCTCAGGTAAAAGCAGTGGTTTGCTAGCACTGGCTCTGAGCCAACTGAGCACACCCCTTCTCAACTCCAAGGTGGTTGCTTGAAGTCAGCTATAGGGGGAATTAACATCAAAGCAAATTCAGGACATCCCACCCCCGCCTCAGAGATCCTGGCTGTTAAACATTTTACAGCACACCAAAGAGTGAACAGGGAGCAGAAGGGAAGATATCACAGAAGATGTCTCTAAACTCCATTCAACCTACTCTCCTGCTTTAACTTAGGTTACTGCTGCCCAATGGCATTCATCCTGGCAAAGTGACAGACACCAGCTACAGCCACCAATTTTAAGTCTCTCCAGTGAAAACTCATCTCAAGTGGTATGTCACCTTTTGATGCTAAGAATTCCATGGATAATCAAAAAAACACGAAGCTGAGACTTTTCCAAGAAGGAGGTAGTCTACAAGTAGAACTGTCTGCCTCACACACTTGCACTAAGGTTGTAAACTTTGACTTTGAAAAGGACATGGACATGGACACACACACACACACACACACACACACACACACTTCCAATTAGTTGATCTCAAAGAGAAAGCAGATCATCATCAACCTCTGAGGGTCTTACGCCTCTCAGAGGCTTAAGCTGTATATAGATTATACAAAGAGGACTCACTAAAACAGCTTCCTAGAAAGTTACTTTGACTGAGTTTCAATGGTACCCTTGGTTTCAAGGTACTTCTGTGCTGAGACAGTTTATCATCAATGATAGCATCTGTGAAAACAAACCAATGGCTTTTCTCCCTTATTAAAAAAGATAAAATACCTTTGTGCTTTCAAACTTTAAAACATCTAGTTAAATCAACCATCAATATGTACTTATTTAAATACAAAATGTTAACCTAATTAAACTATTCCAAAGTGCTGCTGAGAAGCCTAATTTCAAACAGGCATGCAAACTAAGTAATTCAATATGGAAAAAAAGCCCAATATGTCTGTTCCCCATCCACTATTAAACACTACCTTTCAACACTACTATTGCACATCTCAGGAACAGAACTTTCAGCTGATAACCACAAATGAACCAGTAACAGGTCTCCCACACTACAGTTACAGAGGCAGCTCACTGAATGTTCCCTCTACTACTAATGAACTAGCTAGCATACTTGTCTTACTCAGGAGCTTCTCTACACTGTATAGAAACAAATTTAAGGTAAATATTATACATCTGGAAGATGCTAGTTTGTAACAGTCATCATTTTGAGCCCTAAACCTTACTCCCTCATTCCACTTAGTTCATGTTATTCAATTATAGGTTTAGAAGACTAGTTTGAGGGTAGGGGATGTGGGGAGGGTGGTAGTGGTGGTAGATGGTGGCAACATATAATTTAATCCTAGACTTTATTATTGAAATTAAAAAAAAAAAAATAGAGACAGGGTCTTGCTATGTTGCCCTGGCAGGTCTCAAACTCCTGAGCTCAAGCAATCCTCCTGCCTTGGCCTCCCAAGTGCTGGGATTACAAGTGTGAGCCACCACACCCAGCCAATCCTGGACTTTAAAGCCAAACTTTTCAAAGAGTCCACTGTGCTACTGGTCTCAATTCAGTACGAGGAATCAACAAGCCTGTCTGCACTGGCACGAATTACCACATGGCAGTATGGGTAATTACTGTTTATGGTAATCACTGATTACCATATAATATTTTATAAATCTGGTAATTTTATACTACTAATATGAACAATCCAACCCCTATATATATGAGCATTCCCAAATGAAATCTGCTCTTCCCTAATTAAAAAAAAAAGGAAAGCAATAAGCATATCTTTACTTCACTACTAATTCTGGGGCTTTACTTTCTATTCCACATCTTTAAAACTATCACAACCTCTAACAAACTTAAATTTAAAAGGAAAGATGATAAACATATAGTAGAAAATGAGGTAAAATGAACAGGAAAGAGAAAGGGTCCTTCACTCTGGGTATCTTCTGAGAAAAGCCCCACATGTTGTTTCAAGTTATTCAACTGAATCTTACTCAGAGGTGCTTCACGTTTTCAAAACCCACCTCATCCTCCTAAAAGTCATCATTTATATTTATCATGCTATATTCCATGACTATAAAATCATAGCACTCAGAGAGCAGACACCCATTTCTGTGCTAGATGTGGGGCCTTGAATTCTCACCGGATGTTCCAAAAATTGTCATAAACCGCAGGTTTAAATATTGTCCTATGTTGAAACAGATGAGTTCCATGCCCTGTTGACAGGTTCAGACAAGATCATACATATAGCTAAGAGACTCACCCTGAATAAATGTAAACAAGATGTCTTTTCATGGAGCTGCTTACACATGTCACAGTTCACAGCAAAAGAGACCCTCCCCAACAGTACTGCTCCAATCTTACTTGGTATGAACAGGAATGATTTCTCTTCTTCCACTGCTTATAAACAGCGCACTTTTAAGTCACTCACCAGAACACACTTAGTCCTAAAGATGCCAATTCATTTAACTAATAATATTTCTTTAAATAACAGACTCTAGGCATAATTCTTTCTCTGGCCAAAAGATCCCAATAGCCAGAGTAACTCTGTTCTTAATGGCTCTTGCAAAGCATAGCTGCTAAACCCCACCAAAAATTTCTTTAGCACAAAGCTCAAAATAGTAAAAAAGAAAAAAAGAAGAGGGAGGTGGAGTTTGAACTCCAATTAAGGCATTTTTATACACAGTTCCACTTGAGTCTTATTCAAAGGGAATCCTAAAAAGGTGTTTCAATGGGAAATGGCAAAAATCACAAGTCTATTATCAACACTGTAGAACTACCAATCGCTCACTTCAAAAGCAATCATGAATGTCACTGTTTCTTTGCTCCTTGGTTCTCTCATTCCACAAGTGCATAGGTTATGTCTTCTGTAGGTCTGGGGAAAATGGGCCAGGGGTAGAAGGTCCATCCAGGCCAGAAAGAGTGAATGGCCCATGACTGTTCAGTACAGAAGGAAACTGAGAAAAAAAATAATACACATTATCATCCTATTACTCAACCCCAACTTTCACTTTCTGACCCTATTATATTCTCTGAGGCAAAATATGACAGCCTTCTACAGTGGCTCACAGGACACAGGCAGTAACTATTTATCATGAAAGAATATATCATAACAAAAACTTTTTAAAAATTGTTTGTCCTAACATATTAAATATTAACACTCTCCAACCTACCTTGTTGGTGTGGGAACAAACAACAAAACTATACCTTCCCTCATATCCTAGGGTACACAGGTTTATAATTAAACCTCAAATGAAGGTTTTAGGAAGTTCAGTAAATGACAATATACACTATATTTTATATTGTGTACAATTACACTAATTGTGTAATTCAAGTATAAAGCAAATCATAACCCTCAAAAAATAGATCTATAATAGTTATAAGGTGCTCATTCTAGAAAAGAGCACCCCATCAAATATTATGAGACCAACTCCATAGAGAGATGCCAAGCTAAAGCTATAGGAGCACTATGATTTTGCTTGGAGTCTTAGGTAACTCTGTAACTCAATAATCTGCTGATGAGAGGCCAAAGCAAACAACAGAATACAGAAAATTTTCAACACTCTTTCTATTCAATAATTTAGAGATTTTTGTAAAAAAAAAAAAAGCAAAAGTAGTAAGACTTTTAATTTTCTTCTTTTTTCTTACATTTCATTTCTAAAAGAACAAATGAAAAGTTAAATTACAAAAAGCAGAAAATCTCCCAGAGGAAGTCACCCAGAATAAGTACATGAATCTACCACAAGAAAGTCTACAAGTTATAAAGTCTAGATACTTTGAGCAAAATAACTGGTTAAACTCATCAGGAATGGTAAGAACTTTCCCTAACATCTTAGTAAAGAGGTAATACTCTTTTTAAAAAATATATATTTAAAATGTTGGTAAATATCAATTCTGAATAAAAGGAAAATGGGAGTATTTGATATCTCATTCTCAAGATCCTTCTCTATTAAAAAAAAATTCTTAATTAAAAGGAGGCCTAAATAAATAAATAATAAAATAAAAGAAGGAGGCCGGGTGTGGTGACTCACGCCTATAATCCCAGCACTTTGGGAGGCAGAGGTGTGAGGACTGCCTGAGCCCGAGGGTTTGAGACCAGCCTGGGCAACTTGATGTGACCTCATCTCTACAATAAATAAAAAAATTAGCTAGGCATGGTGACACGTACCTGTAGTTCCAGCTATTTGGAAGACTGAGGTGGAAGGATCGCCTGAGCCAGGCAGTTGAGGCTGCAGTGGCCGGGAGCGTGCCACTGCCCTCTAGCCTGGGTGACAGAGTGAGACTCCAATGCAAAAAAAAAAAAAAAAAAAAAATTTTAAAGAAGGAAGTTACAGCCGGGCTCGGTGGCTCAGTCTGTAATCCCAGCACTCTGGGACGCCAAGGTGAGTGGACTGCCTGAGCCCACGGGTTCAAGACCTGCCTGGGCAACTTGGCAAGACCTCATCTCTACAATAAATCAAAAATTAGCTGGGCGTGGTGGCATGCACCTGTAGTTCCAGCTACTTGGAAGGCTGAGGCGGAAGGATTGCCAGAGCCCAGCAGGTCGAGGCTGCAGTGGCCAGGAGCGGCCACTGCACTCCAGTGTGGGTGACAGAGTGAGACTCCAACTCAAAAAAAAAAAGAAGGAAGTTATGTGCAGAGATCCCTTACATATATGTATACATATGTATGTGAGTATATATATGTGTGACATATACATATAAAATATATTTTTATTTATTTTTTATATTATTTTATTTATTTATTTTTGAGTTGGAGTCTCACTCTGTCACCCAGACTGGAGTGCAGTGGCCGCTCCCGGCCACCACAGCCTTGACCTGCTGGGCTCTAGCGATCCTTCCGCCTCAGCCTTCCAAGTAGCCGGAATTACAGGCATGCGCTACCACGCCCGGCTGATTTTTTTATTTATTGTAGAGATGAGGTCTCACTGCCCAGGCGGGTCTCGAACCTGCGGGCTCAGGCAATCCACTCACCTCAGCCTCCCAAAGGCGCGGGATTACAGGCTGAGCCACCAAGCCCAGCTAAATATATTTTTAAATAGAAGATCTCTACTGACAAAAAATTTGGATGTGCTCTAAATCTACTATAGTACTGAACTATTCTGGTCTAACTTAAATGTAAGTAATAATAAGCAATGAAAAGAAAACTTTAGCCGGGCTCGGCTCAGCCTGTAAACCCGCACCTTTGGGAGGCTGAGGTGAGTGGATTGCCTGAGCCCGCGGGTTCAAGACCCGCCTGGGCAGCGAGACCTCATCTCTACAATAAATCAAAAAATCAGCTGGACATGGTAGCGCATGCCTGTAATTCCGGCTACTTGGAAGGCTGAGGCGAAAGGATCGCCAGAGCCCAGCAGGTCGAGGCTGCAGTGGCCGGGAGCGGCCACCGCACTCCAGTCTGGGTGACAGAGTGAGACTCCAACTCAAAAAAAAAAAGGAAAACTTTGCTGTGAAATATTTATCCAAGCTAATTGCTGGTCAAAAAATTTACATTTGGAAATTAAAAAATAAGTCTAAACCATATTTATTACACAGAACTTTTGTAATGATTAACCTGAACAGTGAGATACTGCCTTTTCTCCTTTTTCTTCATTTAACATCCTCCAATTACAAGAGACAGACATTTATGAAATTTACCTGGAAAAGTGTGCTAGCACCTTGCAGTCTGGCTGGACTCAGGGGAGCAACAGGGCTTAGAGTACTCCAGAAGTGGATACTGGAGAGCAAGGGGCTTGGAGTCAGTAAGATGGGTGTCTGTAATACAAAACATAGAGATATCCACTAAACGACTTATCAGGATTATGCTTTATCCTTGAAATCATACACAAATAACCCCAAAGCCAAATATTACTCTATTTTCCATTGTAAATATCTCCAAGTCCAAAATTGTATCATGATAAATTCAGAAATGATTTTACAACCTAAAAAAGATAAAGATCAGGGCACAGTGGCTCATGGCTGCAAACCCAGCACTCTGGGAGGTGGAGGCAAGAGGACTGCCTGAGCCCAGGGATTTGAGACCAGCCTGGGCAACATGGTGAGACTTCGTCCCTACAATAACTCAAAAAATTAGGTGGGTGTGGGGCTGCATACCTGTAATTCCAGCTACTTGGAAGGCTGAGGTGGAAGGATCGCCTGAGACTAGCAGGTCGAGGCTGCAGTGGCTGTGAGCATGCCACTGCATTCCAGCCTGGGCAACAGAGTGAGACTTAGACTCAAAAAAAAAAAAAAAAAAAAAAAAGATACAGGCCAAATAACTATTTTTTAACCCAACTATTATAGGGTCTTTTCCAAATGGAAAAATCAGCCTGAATTCAGGTACAGAGGAATAATGAGCAATCAAATCATCAACATATTACTTTCTTAATAATGAGGTCTAAGAATAATCTATTAAAATATTCTATAAGATGAGCAAGTTAATAAATATCTAATGTAACTATACAAATTTGTTATTCAATGTCACACCTCATTTTTCTTAAGGTTCTCAGGACCTTTCTAACTTGAAAGTATAACTGTTTTTTTAATAAGATACCAACCAGTTTGTTTGTTAACTTATTTATTTATTTAGAGTTGGAGTCTCACTCTGTCGCCCAGGTTGAAGTGCAGTGGCACTCTCACGGCCACCGCAGCCTTGACCTGCTGGACTCAGGTGATCCTTCCACCTCAGCCTTCCAAGTAGCTGGAACCACAGGGGTGTGCCATCACACCTGGCTAGCTGTTTGATTTACTGTACAAACAAGGTCTCACCAAGTTGTCCAGGCTGGTCTTGAACCCCTGAGCTGAGGCAATCCTTTCACCTCCACCAATACCAACCAGTTTTATAAGACCAAAAAAAGAGAGAATAAGAGAGAAAGAATACTTTCTTTAGGAGGAAGTGGAAAAACCAAGATAGTTAGTTACTTGTAGAACAATAAATTTTTTTTTTTTGAGTTGGAGTCTCACTCTGTCGCCCAGACTGGAGTGCAGTGGCACACTCCCGGCCACCGCAGCCACGACCTACTGGGCTCCGGCGATCCTTCCGCCTTAGCCTTCCAAGTAGATGGAACTACAGGTGCGCGCTACCATGCCCGGCTAATTTTTGATTTATTGTAGAGACAAGGTCTTGCCAAGTTGCCCAGATGGGTCTCGAACCCGTGGGCTCAGGCAATCTACTCCCAAAGTGCTGGGATTACAGGCTGAGTCACCGAACCCAGCCGAACCATAAATTTTTTAAGATGATACTCCAAATATTTTATTTTGGCAATCCTAATTAAACGAAGAATTGAATTACTTTCACAGGATCACATATAACCTTTCTAAGACAAATCTAAGCAACAGAAAGCAAACTTGAATGTATGAATTCTGGATGTGTTTAAAGGTGAATAAATGCAAACAATGGTGGCACTAAAAAGAAAGAAAGAGCTACCTGTGAAAAAAGTGCTGGTGTAAGAGAAGCTGTAGGGAGAGATGGGCTCAATATTCCTAGGGGACTTGGATCACTGCCTGTGATCACAAGAGTGGGTGCCAGTTCTAACCCTTTGGGTTTCTTGGATCTTGATGAATTATTTGTTTTATCCTTTTCTGGCAAACCTGAATCCTGGTCCTTAGGCTCTAGTGACAAGTTCTCTGGAAGTTCCATTGGCTGAGAAGCCACTGAATCAATGTCTGTGTCGATGTCTGGGTTAGAACTCAGCGGTGGAGAAGGTGTTCTGGGAGGTTCCTGCAAAGGAGGAGGTATGGATGAAACAGGAGGTATGGTGGTAAAAGTAGCAGTCATGTTGGATGCAGAGCTTGGGGCTTCCAGGGAAGGCAGTTTTGGAGAAACCAATGTCTCCAACACTTGGATAGTTTCTTCTGAAGATGGAGAAATACTTGGGCCAGTTGAAATGGCAGCAGCAACAGGTTCAACTGGTGGTTTTTTAGAAGGAGTTGTGACAAATTTGATGACAGATGGTGTTGGCTCCTGAGGAGATTTCTTCTCTGCCAATTTCTCAGCTGGATTCTCAATCTTTATTGATTTGAAGGGTTTCTTTTTAAAGGAGTTCAAGGAGTTGAGAGTAAATGAAGAATACAAGCCAGAGTGTATGTAGTCATTGCGGCTCGAGGTCTTGGCACCAGGCTGAGGCAGTTTCTCTTTTGCTCCGTTCTCCACATCTTTGGAACTGCTGCTGACCTGACTGCTTGAAGTTTCACAGTCTCCCTCAATCCTGCCCACCGCCATTGGATCCATGTTCAAAATCTCTGGATAAGAGACAAACTTGTACACAAACTTCTGACCATTCACTTTTTTAATGATATTCTGCAGGTAAATAAAATAAAAATTCTTATATTTTCTTATAAACTTATAATCCATAGCTCATGAAAAAGCTGACATAATGAGGTTCAAAAGCGTCTATATCCATGTAGCCATACCAAATCTATTCTCTATTATTAGGGAGCAGGCAAGAATATTTGCATGTCTTATTAACAACTGAAGAAATGTGTTACATAAAAACTGAAAGACTGGCCGGGTGTGGTGGCTCACGCCTGTAATCCCAAGCCAAGGTGAGAGGATTGCCTGAGCCCACAGGTTCGAGACCAGACTGGGCAACTTGGCGAGACCTCATCTCTACAATAAATCAAGAAAAATTAGCTGGGCATGGTGGTGTACCTGTAGTTCCCACTACTTGGAAGGCTGAGGCAGATGGATTGCCTGAGCCCAGCAAGTTGAGGCTACAGTAGCCATGAGTGTGCCACTGCCCTCCAGCCTGGGCAACAGAGTGAGACTCTGACTCAAAAACAAAACAAAACAAAAAACTGAAAAATGTTAATTCCTTAATATTCCTTTCAACCAAGTATCTGTATAGTCAAACTGCAAACTCAAATAATTCCACAGGTACAAGCCATATACATCCTGAGTAAGTAAAAGGGAAGTTGGAACATTATATCTGCTAAGGTTCCTACTTCCTTCAGAAATTCCAGTTGTTTCTTATCTCTTATCTCCAAACAGGAAAGCTGACAAGATCAACACCTAAAGGTGAAAGAAATTAATATCTCAGCTTCTCATCCTAATTCTATTCTTTGGAGCCATTCATTTTATCTCAGTGCCCAAGAATGTATTCAAAATAGTAAGATATTAAACAAAAAAATCAGTTTTAACTAAGAAAACAACTCTATGTATTAAAAGCTATTATTTAAGGTGTTCATTTGTGTTCCCTGAGTTAAACTAAAATTAAAAGTTAAGTAAAACTACAAAAACAAGTATACATATACATGGATGTAAGACAATTTTAAAGTAAATTATGATATGATAAAACTTGATAACATTTATCCTCAAGAATCTCAAATTTCCTTTTTCATATTCCAATCTTGTGCTTATTTTTTGTTTTAAAGACAACTGTAATCAGGAGTAAAATATGTGTAGTAGAATAAATAAGAGTTTGTAGATACACAGCTAGAAAATTTATACCTTGTATAATAATTCTAAACTACCAAAGCTATAAGATAAATTACATTACAATAAACCAGGACATTAGTACCTATAACCACTGGAAAAAGGAAGGAATAATTTTCTTATAAATATAGGATCCAGATCAGGATGTGTATTACCTTTACATAGTAGTATCTGAGGGCTCGGCTGAGTTTGTCATAATTCATGTTAGGTTTGTTCTTGCGAATTCCCCAGAGACGAGCCACCTCTTCTGCCTGCAAAAGCTTGAACTGCCCATCATTAGAAGTCCAGCAGATCATGTGCTTGTTCTGAGGCTTCTGCAGAAGCTGAAGTAGGAACTGCCATAGGGTGATAGCACTGTCCATAGCAATGAGCTGAAATAAAGATATATGATCGTGTGAAGAGCCACCACTTATTGAACACTATGTGTCAAGCACCGTTTCACTGTTTTAAGTACTCTAAATGTATTAATTTATTTCTTCCCCAAAACATTCCTATAAGATAGATACTGCTAGTCGGGCTCAGTGGCTCAGCCTGTAATCCTGCGCTTTGGGAAGCTGAGGTGAGTGGATTGCCTGATCCCGAGGGTTCGAGACCCACCTGGGCAACTTGGCGAGATCTCATCTCTACAATAAATCAAAAAATCAGCCGGGCATGGTAGCACATTCCTGTAATTCCGGCTACTCGGAAGGCTGAGGCGGAAGGATCACCGGAGCCCAGCAGGTTAAGGCTACGGTGGCCGGGAGCAGCCATTGCACTCCAGTCTGGGCCACAGAGTGAGACTCCAACTCAAAAAAAAAAAAAACAGATAGATACTGCTGCATATTCATTTTACATAAGAAAAAACTGATTCATAACTAGGTGAAGTAACTTGTCCAAGGGAACACAAGTAAATGGTGGAGTTAAAATTCAGGCTCAGGCAATCTGGAACTAGAGTCCAAGCACTTAAGAAACATCTTAAAACAAACAATTTGCAAGGAGAATAAAGCCAGTTCCATAAATTATAGGAAAATGATGACTGTCAGTCACTAGTGTATCACCATTACTAAATTTTACCTTCCATAATCCCAATACTTTGGGAGGTAGAGGCAAGAGGATTTGCCTGAGCCCAGTAGTCTGCGACCAGCCTGAGCAATTTGGTGAGATCTTATCTCTACAATAAATCAAAACAATTAGTCAGGTGTGGTGGTGCACACCTGTATTTCCAGCTACTTGGAAGGCTGAGGCAGAAGGATCACCTGAGCCCAGCAGGTCAAGACAGCAGTAGCCGTGACTGTTCTACTGCACTCCAGCCTAGGTGACAGAGTGAGACTCCCAACTAAAAAAAAAAAAAAATTACCTTAAAATCTCACTGTTGGCTGGGCATGGTGGCTCATGCCTGTAATCCCAGCATTTTGGGAGGGCAAGGAAGGAGGACTGCTTGAGCCCAGGAGTTCAAGACTAGCCCAGACAACACATTGAGACCTCATTTCTATAAAAAAAATTTTAAAATTAGCTGGGTTTAGTGGCAGACACCTGTAGTTCCAGCTACTTGGGAGACTGAAGCAGAAGGATCGCTTGAGCCCAGGAGGTATTAATTTATTAATAGGTAGAGGCTGCGGTGAACCATGATCATGCCACTGCACTCCAGTGGAAGAGTGAGACCCTGACTCTAAACAAACAAACAAACAAATAAATAAATCTCACTGTTGTATTCTTTCAGATGACTACCACTTTAACATCTACCTAAATCAATCATGTGGGTATGTATCTGTCTCAGAATGTCCCAGAAGCTTAGGTATAGGAAATAATGTACTTTTGCTCCAACTGGTATTTCTCCTCTAAACAGTTTCCATGATCATAAATGCAATTTACATGCAAATTGGCAGCACTGTGAATTCAGCAATGTTCCCTAATTTAATTTACAAGTTGTCATTGTTTTGTCCATAGGGATTCCATCGGCATAGATTCTTCTTTAATTAGCAGTCTTTATGTGATTACCAAGAAATGGACTTTAAAAAAAAAATCCTTCATTGGAAGGCTGAGGCGGAAGGATCGCCTGAGCCCAGCAGGTCAATGTTGAGGTAGCTGTGAGTGTGCCATGGCACTTCAGCCTGGGCAACAGAATGAGACTCCAGTTATTAAAAAAAAAAAAAAAAAAAAAAAAAACCCTTCACTATCTGAAGTTTTAGGATCTCCTTGCTTAGGCCAGAGATTTTCCAATTTGACACTATTCATTTTGCGGGGGGGGGGGAACACCTGTCCTGTGCACTGTAGTTTGTTTAACAGCATCCCAGGCCTCTACCCACTAGATAACCGTACCACTTCCCATCCCCTTGAGACAATAAAAAATGTCTGCAGACATTGTCAAACATTTCCCTGGGAGTCAAAGTCATCCTGGTTGATAATCAGTGATTTAGGCAAAGGAGCAGCAAGGAAATGCTCTCACAAAGGTATTTTCCTAGCCGGGCTCAGTGTCTCAGCCTGTAATCCAGCACCTTGGGAAGCTGAGGTGAATGAACTGCCTGAGCCCATGGGTTTGAGACCCGCCTGGGCAACTTGGCAAGACTTCATCTCTACAATAAATCAAAAATCAGCCGGGCGTGGTAGCTCCTGTGGTTCCGCCTACTCGGAAGGCTGAGGCGGAAGGATCGCCAGAGCCCAGCAGGTCGAGGCTGCGGTGGCTGGAAGCGGCCACTGCACTCCAGTCTGGGCAACAGAGTGGCACTCCAACTCAAAAAAAAAAAAAAAAAAGGTCTTTTCCTCATAGAACCTCAAAACACCTTGTCTAATGGGATGAACTCTTTAGGGCAGAAACACTGTCCATACCCACATAATCCCGTCCTAAGAGGCCTATGACTCTGTACCTTCATAAACACAAACAAAAAAAATTTTTTCTTTCTCTAGGAATGAGATCTTAACATGTTAGAACAGAGTCTGAAAATAAATCAGTCCTATTAAAGCACTCCTCAAAAACAGGTAAACTGGACTATATCAAAATTTAAAGCTGTTATGCTGTAAATACCATCAAGTGAGAAGATAATGTCCAAAATGGGAGAAAATATTTTCAGACCAGGTATCACAAAAGGAACTTGCACCCAAAAATAATCAAGAACTCTTACAACTAAAAAAAAAATAAAGCCAGGCTCGGTGGCTCAGCCTGTAATCCCGCGCCTTTGGGAGGCTGAGGTGAGTGGATTGCCTCAGCCCACAGCTTCGACACCTGCCTGGGCAACTTGGTGAGACCTCATCTCTACAATAAATCAAAAATTAGCCGGGCGTGGTAGTGCGCGCCTGTAGTTCCGGCTACTTGGAAGGCTGAAGCGGAAGGATTGCCGGAGCCCAGCGGGTCGAGGCTGCGGAGGCCGGGAGCAGCCACTGCACTCCAGTTTGGGTGACACAGTGAGATTCCAACTCAAAAAAAAAAAGACAAAGGATTTGAAAAGACATTTATCTAAAGACAAAAAAGACATACAGCTAGCCAGTAAACACATGAAAAGATGTTCAACATCATTAGTTATTAGGGTAATGAAAATCAAAACCATGTAAGAAACTATTTCATGCCTACTAGGATGGCTATAATAAAAAAGACAGACAATAACAAATGTTGGCAAGGAAGTAGAGAAATTGAAACCCTCACAAACTTCTGGTAGGAATATAAAATGGTACAGGTATTTTGCACAATTTTACCATATGACCCAGCAATTCCATCCCTAGGTACAGACCCAAGAGAAATGAAAACGTATGTCCACACAAAAACTTAGACAGGGATGTTCACTGCAGCATTACTCATAATATCTAAAAACTGGAAATAACCTAAATGTCCATCAGTGATGAATGGATAAAAAAAGTGGTACATTCATACAAGGGAACATCATTCAATTAAAAAATAAATGAAGTATGAACACAACATGGATGAACCCTGAAAACACTCTGCAAATGATAGAAGCAAGCCACAAAAGACCACATACTGTATGATTCCACTTATATGAAAAGTCAAGAATGGGCAAATCTAAAGACACAGAAAATCAACTGGTGTTTACTTAGGGTGGGAGCAGAATGGGTGAGGGAGAGAAATGGGGAGTCACAGCTAATGGATACAGGGTTTATTTTTGAGGTGATGAAAATATTCCAAACATAGATTTTTCTAAGACACTCAAATGTCCTCCAGTAATCTTTACAGTTATCACTTTAAAGCTAGTTATATAAAAACAGTCATCCAAAAGTAGAAATGGAGAAATAATAAAGAACAGAAAGCAGGAGATGCTATTCATAGTCACAGAGCTCGTGAAGACTCTGAGGTCATGAATCCAAGTCTCTGTCATCACAGTCATGTGCTCTATCCATCAGGGAAACCCTTCTCTGGATGGATAAAAGCATTCACATTACCCGCTGATTTTAAAGAAGTATTATACATTAGATACTGATAATAGTCCACAAATATGAAATACTATCTTAATGAAAAATAACCATGCCCTACAAAGTATAGTTTCCCATAGCCTCACTTAAGCTGAGTTAAAATAGTGGCTTGATATTATACTCATTAAGTATGGTGGGGGGAGGGAGGGGTTCCCTGTCATGGCTGAGTTTCCCAGACAGATCTTGCTGATGATGATGGCTATTCGTGGCAAGTTACTTTTTTCTTTTTTTTTGAGTCAGAGTCTCACTCTGTCGCCCAGGCTGGAGTGCAGTGGCACGCTCAGGGCCACCCGTGTCGACCCACTGGGCTCAGCCTTCCACCTCAGTGTTGATCCTTCCGTCTCAGCCTTCCAAGCAGCCAGAACTACAGGCGAGTGCTACCATGCCCGGCTAATTTTTTGATAGTTTGTAGAGATGAGGTCTCACCAAGTTGCCCAGGCTGGTCTCGAACCCCTGGGCTCAGGCAATCCTCTCGCCTCAGCCACCCAAAGTGCTCTGATTATAGGCTTGAGCCAGCAAGCCCAGTCGGCAAGTTACTTTTTTACATGTTTTTCCCATTTTAAACACTTATTTGCTAGTCTAAGCCTGTTAAAACTACTCCCTAATAAGTCACCAAAAAACTGTATTTCCACATTTCCAGACATCAATTTCATATCAAGAATATTTATAGGGGTAGGGGTGTGAATAAGTGTGTGAGATGATGATGAAGAGAAAGACTGGTAGAAAACTGGAATCTCTAGCTACTATAAATGTGGTGCCAACAGTTCCATTTGTTTTTAAAAAAATTCAAAAATCCCCAAATCCTAGAATATTAATAGCTATTATGTAGATTACGTTGGAGCCCTACATGTTTATAATGCCCAAGTTATACATCTAAAAAAACAAAGATAAGAAATAATGAAGTACCCAAGGAGATTCCCAAATACATGGGTGGTTCTCAAGATTGTACGGGGTTTAACTCCCACCTTCCCCTCTG